TCCGTATCATTGTCTGCCTTCTGTTTTATTCTTAGCCTACAATTCTAACTTATCTCTTGGCTTTCTAGTCTCTAGGCTAAACAATTGCAATCCATTTGACCTTCTTTCTGAAGTCATATTTTTAATCCTTTAATCATTTATGGTAGTCTCTTTTAATCCTCTGTACGTTCCCTTTTAAGTTGCAGAGCTGAAACTAAATGTGGTACCCATGAAAGGTTTTAACCATGCTGAGATGCTGAGTATAATGGGAGACTTATCTCATGGTATCAACACATTCTTCTCATCACGAATCCCAGTATTGCAGTTTTTTAATAACTAAGAAATGACATTGTGCACTCATGTTCATCTTGTTAGTTCATCTTATTACCCACTGCTAATGAATAGCTACAATTGGGATTATGAACCAGAGAGCCAAAGACATCACTGCGGGATCAAATGTGAATTATATATTCACAATAAAAGAAGAATCATGCAAATTCAGTGACCTTCCTCAGTGATGAAATGACTAACAACTATTGCTAACCCTGGGTATATTACATACCAGTGTAGCGAATTCAAATTTTATTTTATCTTTTATCGCTATAGTAAAAGGACTGGGCAGCCAAATGTGGAACAAAAAAAGATGAGTGGATTAAATTTAAATTAAGCAGTATGTTTCTAATATAGGCCTGATAGAGATTCTTTGCTTTTCAAAAACACTCAAATTAAGAATGATATTTCTTTAGTGATAATATTATAATATTCTTTCCACTAATGGAGGAAGTGTTTAGGTAAGTCATATGAATTTCTCCAAAAACATCCCATGCAAGGATTTCCACATGTCAGTCAAAGGAGAGTGGAGAGGCTGCATAAAAGTAACCTGGGAACTTCTTTTTTATATTTAGCTTTACCTTTTTTGAAATAATTGTAAAATTATAGGACATTTGAAAGAAATGAACAGGAAGGTCACACGCACCCTTCACTGAACCTCTCCTAATATTGACAGTTTTTATCACTGCAGTACAATAAAAAACAGGAAAAATAACATTGTTACAATTCGGACAACTAATCTGATTTCACCAGTTACGCATAACATTTTGCATGTGTGTGTTTGTGCATTCGTCTCCATGCAATTTTATAGTATTTGTAGCCTCGTGTGACCCAATGATTTAGTCATTACATGATATAAACATGTTTCAGAACATCACATTTTACTTCATAAATGTGTACAATTATAATATGTCAGTAAAAATAATATCAAACAGGAACATTACAGTTTTAGAAGTTGTTAAGATCCGTTGGTCCTTTTGAGTGTTCCTCAATTACTACAAGGATAACTGCCAAATAACATAATTGAGGTCTAATAAAAAAGACTCATTCATAATATATTGGGGTTGTCCAATTAATATTAAGAAACTCACGGACTCTGTTGCCGGCATCATTTTACATATGCTGGGAAAATTTCCACATATTCTGATTTCACATGCCATATGTTAACAAAAGAATAATTTAATTCATATTTGACACTATAGTACTTATGCTATAGTACTATGAATGCAATAAATAAGAAATCGAAGGATTTCATACAATTTATTCAAAACTACTGAGAATTATTAATGTGCAACACTAAAATTCTGTTCTCACACATTTTTAGTATTAATGGTGGAGATAAATGATACAGCTCAGAAACCTACATATAGCACCACAAAGAGATATATAAGTATTAACAAAAATAAAAATATATAGGTAAAGTATTTGCAAATGGCATGATTCTTTGTGTAGACAATTCTAAAGAACCTAAAAATAGCCCCTAGAACTAACAATTAAGTTAATCAAGGTTGCAGGGTACAATATCAGCAAACAAATTCAATTTCATATGGACTGCAATAAAAACATAGAAATGTAAATTAAAGTTACAATATTATTTACATAATTCAAAGACAATGAAATACTTATAAATACATACAAGAAAACTCACATATAGAATTTTTAGGCCAAACTTGACAAAACACTGCTGAAAGAAGTTGAAGATGAACTAAATAAACAAGGAAACATATTATGTTCCTCGATCAAAAGGCTCAAAATAATGGAGGTGTAAACTCTCCAAAACAAGAAATGTACCAAGATTATCCATTGACAAAATTATTCTAAATTTAATGCAGGAAAATTAACTAGAATTGCTAAAATGACTTTAGGAAAAAATATAACGGAATGAATCCCTCTACCTGCTTTTAGGATTTGTATTCAGCTGTAGTAATCAAGAATGTGTGGTACTGGTGGATATGCAGACATACATATCAATGCATATACAAGTATAGTTGACTAATTTTATACAATGGCAAAAAAAGTAATACAAAGTTTGAAGCATAGCCTTTTCAAAAAATGGTGCTGGAACCAATGGATTTATTAAAAAAAAAAAAAAAGATACCTGTGGTTCGAATATATTTTCTTCTAATATGTAGTTTTTACTTTCATTCTCCTAACAAGGTCTTTCACGGAGTAAACTATTTTTATTTTGATAAAATCTAACTTATTTTTTATGGATATCTGATAAGGGATTTTAATTTAGGATTTATATGGAACTTTTTAAATTCAAAAGTACAATTCTTAAAATCCCAATCAGATATTTTTAGCACAGTTTCTTCTCAAATTCAAAACTATCAAAATTTTATTTGCAATCTTGCATTTGCAAAGAGTGCTTAGTATTATTGTTATTTCTATAACTTAAAAATGAAGTCAGTAAATTATATATTTTGATAAACTAATCAATAAATTTGCAGAAAACCAAACTAGAAAAATCTTATGTGTAACCAAGTTATTACATTAATAAAGTGTTATTATTTATAATAAAATATGAAACACAAATATTGCTTTTTGCAATACTTGTTTATTTTTTGTCTGCACTATTAATCCTGTTATGTTTTATGAGTAATAAAATATATTTACAAAAAAGAAATATGTAGCTAAAATATGACAAAAGTTAAAAAGAGAAAATATTTTCTACTAAAAGCATCAGGGAAACACTGATGAAGGAAAAATTGGAAATGTACTATAGAGTGTAGACAAAGATTTGATATTTTAAAAATGAGAGCAAATGTATGGACATAAACAAAGATTATGAGCAGTATTATAGGGATTATAAAAGGAAAAAATGTAAAGTAAAATCAAAAAGGTGATTTAGAGTCAGGTTGTAGAGTGCTGAAAACAAGACAAATCTTGTCTTTATTCTGTAGACAATGAGAATGCAGCAGACATATTCAACATTACAATATTTATCATATCAATGTTTCAGAAAGATACACTTAGCAACTGTACCTATAATAAATTGGAAGACATACAGAGTAAAGATACTCCAATACTTAGAAAGAAATTTTGATTCTTTAGGTGTGAGAAATAAAGATCTAAAGTAGGATGTTAAATAGTGGTGATAAGTTGAAGAATGGCACAAGAAAAATAAGAGCTATGGCAGAGAAAGAAATGACAACTGCTTGCAAGTGGGTTTTCTGTGCTAGATAGCAGAAAAAGTTGCTAGTACTTTGAATCTCTATCCTAGTAAGGGAAGTCAAAAACACAGCAGAATGAAAGGCAAAGCATTATTGTGGAAGAAGTAAAGATGACTATATAGTAATGAAGTGGAAGTGGTAAATATAGATTGATTTTTCAAGTTTAATGATTCAAAGGAATTGGATGGTTGCAGAGTTGACTAAGAGGTTTTATTAGGATAGAAGACAGTTAAATAAGTGAAAGAATAAGTGGAAAATTTTAATAGAGATGAAAGTAATGAAATGCCAGGAAGAACAAGATACAAGAAGCAAAATTCTTCAAAAAGTAGATAGCTTCTGAGACCCATCAGGGTACATTGCCTTGGAGAGAAGAAATGATACGCTTCTGAGGTCAAGGAAAAGAATAAAATGGAAGTCAATGTGCCACTAAATTTATGACAGAGAATGGAAGGTGAGTTCCTACCACATTGTGCCAATATTATCAAACAATTTGTTTGTCAACATGATTAAGTATGCAGCAGAGGGCACAATAAAGTTAAAAACGTCTAAAATACATTCTCTGAAAAATATGTAGCTTTCTTTTAAAGGACAGACTGTTCAGAGGAAGATATCATATATTTTAATTTGTTATAAAACACTCCAAAGCCTAGCATGTTTCTAAAAGTGTCTGATAGTTACAATATGCAATAACTAACACACAACTATATTTCGATTTGAATATCCCAACTCTTAAATATAATTTAAATGTAAAAATCCAAATGAAAAATCTATAGTTAGGATATGAAATTTCTGCATTTATTTGAAATTCATTTATGCTGCACAGACACTTTCCAGTGAATCTACCATTTATGCTCCCATGTGGTGTTAACCTTACACAATTTCTGAGCATCAGTAATATCCTGTGAAACTCCTCTCCATCTAGTGTTCTATGAAGTCTCAGATAACACTGTCATGATACTGAAAAAAATTCTAAGAGTTTTTCCCTTATTGAATTTGATCTCATACTGATTTCCCTTCACATATTTTGTAATTCAATATAAGCGGTCTTGCTCTGGTAAAATTATAGGTTCCAAGTGAGTCTCCTACTAAAAAATGCATTTGTATATTATTTCATTTTTCTTTAGCATCATAATAAACCATATTATCACTTTGTAGTTTCTTCACCTCAAAATAAGATAAGCAGCCATAAAAGTCTGTTATGTCAGTTGTATTGCTATTGCTGTTTTTTATTTTCTTAGGTATTCCACACAGTTTCAGTTTAGCAGGCTTTAGTTTGGGAAAAGGTAAAAGTGCTACAGAAAAGAGAGATATGCTGAAATAAAAGAAAAAAGATGGCAAGTAGGAAAGTTGAGAAAACTAATCAGGTGACACATTTCCTCATTGTTACATAGAGTTCTATTCGTTTACCTTGACAATAAAAATGTCATCTGACAGATACCTGCCTTTTATTAAGCAAAGACATTTTCTCAAGACTGAGAAAAGTGAAATCAGCAACATAGTGCATTAGTCCATTCTCACATTGCTCTAAAGAAATATCCAAGACTGGATAATTTATAAAGAGATTTAATTGACTCAAGTACTGCATTGCTGGGTAGGCCTCAGGAAACTTACAATCTTGGCAGAAGGGAAGGAGGCACATCTCTTACATGGCAGCAGGAGAGAGAGTGTGCGTGAAGAAGGAACTGTCAAACCATCAGATCTCCTGAGAACTCACTCGTTATCATGAGACCAGCATGGGGAAACTGCCCCTGTGATCCAGTCATCACCCACCAGTTTCCCTCATGGTCAACTGGGAATTATGGAAATTACAAATCAAGATGAGATTTGGATGAGACATTGAACCAAACCATATCACATAGTTTACAAAAAATTTTTTGCAATGTTTATGCCTGAATAGCTTAATCTTTTTGATACTTCCTCCAAAGAGGAATAGACTCCTAGATATAATCCAGGATAATATGTGTAAAAAAATAGTTGTTCTCTTTCAATTATTAATCAAACAAAGCATATATTTGATAATATTTGGCTATTTATGCAATAGTCACATGAGATTCAGTTTATAAGTTTTTACATAATTTACATAAATGATAACGGAAATGATTTGCCTGCGTTTTTTCTTTTATTACAACATTTTTTTTAAGTTTTAGTGTCAATATTATACTGGCCCCTAATGAGGGACTGTGTTAAAGAAAAACTTATTTTTCTGGGTCCGCAAGGGGTATGGTTTCCAATGCAGAGATTTCTTTTGAGCACCTCCTACACACCTCCACCCCAAATCCATGCCTCTATCTGGTAACCAAAGGGGTTTCAAATGTAAAGTTCTTTGGGAAAACCCAAATCATTTTATTAGTGATATTATATTTTCAAAAATATGTAAAGAAAGGTTGATAAATTCTCTCAAATAGTGGACTGTATAAAAACATAATTTAGGAAAAAAGGATTAAAAAGTTATAAAATTACAGCATAACTAAAAGACTAATAACAAAACATGTAGCAAGATAGAACCGAAGAAATTGCAAAGATGTTAACTAGAATTAAATAAATTTTCCAGAACTAATTAATATGTAGAAAAGTCTTACTAAATTGAGTACTCAGAAAAATGAATGAAAGAAGGATCATGAAATGCAACCTCATCATGAAGTGAGGAAAAAAAATGTGTTCTGAGATAAAGTTAAAAGGTTAAGAATAAAATTATGTCAGTTTTAATGACTGAAAGTGAAGGGAATAAATAATTTTTTAAATCCTCAACATTCTGAAAAAAATATAGCTTAAAATATATTGTTAAATTATTAAGGATTAGGTAGAAATAAATTACATTTTTATATATGTCATCTTTTTAAAACTTATTTTATTTTATTTTTTATTTTGAGACAGAGTCTCTCTGTCACTCAGGCTGGAGTGTAGTGGTAAGATCTCAGCTCACTGCAACAGCCATCTTTAGGGTTCAAATGATTCTGTGCCTCAGTCTCCCAAGTAGCTGAGGCTACAGGTGCATGCCACTATGCCCTGCTAATTTGTGTAATTTCAGTAGACATGGGGTTTCCATGTTGGCCAGGCTGGTCTCAAACTCCTGACCTCAAGTGATTTGCCTATCTCAGTCTCTCAAAATGCTGGGATATAGGTATGAGCCACCACACCTGGCCACATGTCACCTTTTAAAAATATTATCTCATGCACATTTTCTTTCTTAGGAAGTTGCTTAAGGATATACTTAAAGAAAAATATATTAATGTAAAATAATAATTTAAAAATTCAGTGTCTATTTTTAAAAAGCAACAAAAATTATAGATCAAATTCAGGAAAAAAGGGAAATAAAAATTTCAGGAGGATTAATAAATACATGTTCTGAAAATGAGTCATGAAGCAGCCTTTGACTAGAGCAGGAAGACAAAGGAATATAAAAAATACTATGTTTCATAAAGTAAAGTAGAAGTGACAGATACCTGATGTGACACATTAAAATTACAAATTATTAAATTTTATAAAAGGTCAATTTCTTATTTAAATAATGCATCATAAGTCTACAAATACAAATATGGCTGTTAAATTACTTTCCCTGATGTTTAAAACAAATAAAACATTTCAAAAGATACCAGTGAAAAAAAGGAACCATTTTAGTGCTAGAAAGGAAAAAAAAAAAAAATAGCATGGTTGAAACCAAGCATGAGCAGAATTTTAAAATGAAAGGTGGGGTAAATATTGACCCAAGGTTGGAGTGTCAATGGTGATGAAATTCTTCAGGCTGTGTCAATGGGGCCATTTCTCAGGGAAAAAACAAACTAACAAAAAATCTTAGTAGCAGATACTCAATACAATGTAAACCACAATAGGCATTATCAAGAAAAAGATATTACAAATCATATTAAAGAAAATACAGTGTTAGTATTTACATATACAATATAGTCTCTAGTTACTTTAAAAAGGTAAATAATTATGACTATATTATAAGAAATTTGACACAGAACGCATTAAAACACTGTTATGTGAAATATTGAAATCATTTATTAATTTCTTTACCATTATTTTCATGCGCATTTGTAGTTGCAGCTGTCTTTATGATTCTTGACAAGAAGCATGCTGTGACTTAAAATGAAATCCATCCTGTTCAAAGGTGATTCAGAGGTGATTACACTTTAGCATTCAACAAAATAAGAAAGGGATAGGAAGACAGTTTAGTGTAATATAAAGCCAATCTTTTTAAACTATCATATTATGCAAATTGTTGACGAGTGAGTAAACACACATTTTGTAACTAAATATCCCTATCACTCTTCCTGCTACACATGTAATCACTAGCCTCTCAGGAAAGAACCTGAATGCAATCTAATCCCTAGATTTAGCCCAAATGTAAGATCTCTTTATGGTAACTAGTTTTCTCCATTAATTTTGGATAAGGGTCCTTATGGCCTGGTGTCTTAATAAAAATATTCACTGCATATCCATTCTGTGATATTGTAATAAGAAAAATATAACCTAAGTGAACAATTTCATTCACACAAGACAAGAGAGACACACGAATTTCACTGTATATTTCACTTAGGACATTCCATGGTGAAGCCTCTCAACCTGGCAGTGAGGAAATTTCCTTGCTCAGACCTTAATTCTACTTTTGGGAAAAATTCTCTTACCCATTTTTTTTTTGTCACCTCTGCTTTCCCTATTGCTACATCTAAAAAGGACATTGATATGAATTTCCTTATTGTAAGTGTCTTTTATTTTTTATTTTTATCTATTTATTTTTTTGAGATGGAATCTCACTCTGTCACCCAGGCAGGAGTGCAGTGGCACAATCTTGGCTTACTATACCTCTACTTCCTGGGTTCAAGCAATTTTCCTGCCTCAACCTCCCCAGTAGCTGAGATTACAGGCACCTGACACCATGCCTGGCTAATTTTTATATTTTTAAAAGAGACTGGTTTCTCCATTTTGACCAGGCTGGTCCTGAACTCTTAACTTCAAGTGATTCATCCACCTCAGCCTCTCAAAGCACTGGGATTATAGGCATGAGCCACAGCGCTCAGCCGGTGTCTGCCCTTTAAAATCTACTTCCTTGGGCCGGGCGCAGTGGCTCACGTCTGTAATCCCAGCACTTTGGGAGGCCGAGGCGGGTGGATCAGGAGGTCAAGAGATCAAAACCATCCTGGTCAACATGGTGAAACCCCATCTCTACTAAAAATACAAAAATTAGCTGGGCATGGTGGTGCGTGCCTGTAATCTCAGCTACTCAGGAGGCTGAGGCAGAAGAATTGCCTGAATCCAGGAGGCGGAGGTTGCAGTGAGCCGAGATCCTGCCATTGCACTCCAGCATGGGCAACAATAGCGAAACTCCATCTCAAAAACAAAAACCTACTTCCTGCATGTGTAAGTTTTGGGGTTGAGGTATTATTTATGATTTAAAAAATGAAAGACATAATGAACTAGAAAAAAAGCCATTTCGTAGTGGAGAAGAGATGAAAGTGAGGGTAAGTACCTACATACAATCTCTGGTAACAAACAATAAAATTAATCAAAAGAGTATGGCACCCTAAAAAGAAACATGAAGATTGGCCAGCAAAATGGGAAAAAGTCCTCACATGCTTTGAGTGTAAGAAAAAAAAAAATGTTCATTGAAATGTGCACAATAAAGGAGGGCTGAGGTAGTCCTTACCTACAGCACTTGTAGACTCACAGTTTTATAATCCCTCCTTTCTCTGCAATAATTTAGAATTATAGCTATTACATCTCCTACACCATCGAATCCCATCACCTCTTGATTTAAAGTTAAAAATCCAACATATCATAGATGACTCAAGACTAAACCTCATACGTTTATCCAGGCACTCCTCAAATAAACAAGCCTCCAAAAAAAAAAAAAAGCACCATCTTTATGATCTGCGTTCTTAGACATATGTCAGTATCAATCACACAATCATTCAGAGTCTTGAGAAAAAAAAGAAACACAGATGTGACATATTCAAATCAGGGCATTTGAGTAGAGTTTAATGAAGAAACAATTTACAAAGATATGAGCAGCGTGAAAAGAAAACACAAATACTGCTGAATGACAATAATGGGGCTGTTATCATTCTGGAACCTAAAAGAACAAAAGGAAGGAAAACTTGCAGAAATTTGAGGCAGAAACTTTGGGTAGATGTTAACTTCTAGTGGCTGGGATTTTATTCAAGAGATAACAGCTAATTCATGTTGACCTTAAAACATTGAATTAGACAGACAAAATATATACAGTATCATACCCTCTTACCTCTCTCCAATATCCTGCTGGCATTTGGAATCAGTTGAACTTAATTTCAAATGTAAGGAAAAGGAAGGTCCTGCATGAGTTATAATTATGTCAGCCTGTTGGGACAAAGAGGAAATGTTGAGAGGCACAGAGAGTGGGCCTAAGGGCTAAAACAGAATATATCTAACAAATCAACATAAAAGAACTCATATTAACCCAAACTTGGAAATGATGTTTCAGATGTTACAACTGCATATAAAGTATAAACCCCAAAATTTAAGGGATCAAAACGGAAACAGTATACTTCAGGTTCCT